AAGACATTCCTCATTTTGCATTAAAACAGTCTGTTTGCTGTTCACCTCTGCTCATCATCTCTGCCAGAAAACGGATGCTTTAGGTGCTCACTAGGGGAAACCTCACTGTCACCAACATGTTCCAAAAGAACCAATGTTACTTACCTCCATGGAAATGTTATCCCCAAGTCTGTTCTTCTCTATATTCTCTATTATACACTGGAGTTGGTTGCTGAATCCAGTGCTAGATCTGGGAGAGCATCACTCCTGCCTGATGCTCCTAGTCTGATGCACACTATCTGATGCAGACTATCCTGAAGAAGATACAATTTGCCAATCACTTATAGTGGGCTGCACTGTATACAAAGAAGAAAGAATGGTTACTTGGTCTTAGAGATGAGTAGCTGGTCCATCACCACATGCTGAATCTTCAGCTGTGTGCTTCTTCAGACTGTGAAGACTGATGGAGCACCAAAGCTATTCTGCCATTTCTGCCTTCCCAATGATGTATAGAACTTAGCTATAATGAGCACAACTATTCAGAAGAGTCCAAACTTGCCCCCAAAGTATGCAACCACACTTTTGTGGGAGGTTGGGGAGGCACAGTGACTATGACAGCTCAAAGAACACTGTTCTGGAAGGGCAAATGGTCATTCTTTGTATTTGTTTAAGCTTTACAGGGTGCATCTGCACGTGGCCCTGCAGCACCCTTGTTAACTGCGCCATCATTTAGTACCTTTTGGAAGTACTAAATGATGGCGCAGTAACAGCCCGTACTGCACTGTGCCAGCCGTGCATGGTTATTTTTAGTTGCTACGTTGCCTTAGTATTGCGTTATACTGAGTAAGCACGTTGCTACGATGATATAGGTGTGGTGTCATGGTGTTTGCCCATCAATGTAGCGTCACTTGTAGATGCGCCCACAGTGAATGTGGAAGGAAGACACTTAGAAACTAAGGACATATTTGCATCCTGCACACAAATGTTACAGATACTTTTTTCTACCTACTGTAGAGTTACCATAGATCATTTCTGATTAGTTTACTAAGTAGTGGTGGCCCAGATATTTATCTGCCCACTGTTGGCAGATAAATATGCATCACTTGTTTACCTCGCTATTGCCCCTTCACTGGTAATGGCATTTCAGTGGTTCAGTGTCTGCAAAGTAATGTATGTAGCAAGTTGAGATGAAAGATACTCTAGGAAAGAAAAAGGAAATAATCTATTAAATAATCAATTATCTTTAGTAGTTTTACAGCCATGACTAAAATAGGACTATACCACTAGACAAAGATAACTCATAAAACAGGATTTTGCAGGATCTTATACAGATTGTTTTAAAATATATATGTATTCTGGATGTTTAATGCATTTTGTTTTAGTTCAGTGCAACCTCTGTTTTTCAAAATTCAATCAATCTGAACTCCTTTCTATCAAAAATAAGATCACAACCATATGGCATCTATTGAACAGAGTAAAAAATTCTTGAGTTATCCAAAATCTCAGTTATCTCTGCCTATTCCATCGCATGTTGCTTATTGAAACTGTACTGCCATATGTTTCATATAATGATTTTGATGGAAAAGGGAAACTGACTGTTTGTTTTTAATTACAGCTCAGGATGATTGCTATGCAGAAGAAAAAGTCTGCCTCTGTGGTGGATCTGGAAAACATTTAAAAATATGCATTGTTCATTTACAGCATTTAAGAGTTGGGAAAACCATCAGAGAAGCACAGTACTGGATCACTGAAGTCTATAGTGCATCATGGGGCTTGTGGAATTTGCATGAACATTTTCCTTTCTGTTTGGACAAGGAAGAATGAAACTGAACTGTAGCTTCCTCACAGTAAATACATACAAGAGAATGGAATATAAGAAATAAGCACCAGTGTAACGGAACAATTTCAGAAGTTAATCACCTTCATTAATGTATAAAATAAAACCAATTTAATATAGGGTAGTGTTTCCCAACCAGTGTGCCATGGCACAAAAGCGTGCTGTCAGAAATGAACAGGGGTGCCACAGAATTTTGCAATGGCAATGAGCTACAATAGGTATGAGGATGGGGAATGCCTTAACAGGCGCACTGTGGAAATTTTTGTTTTTTTTAATGCAAACATGCCTTGGGCTGGAAAAGGTTGGGAAACACTGCTATAGGGCTTTTGGGGTTTATTTCATTTCTCAAAAGCAAGTGCTGCAATCATGACAAAGTATTAAAGAAATGCCTACTGGAAAGTCTAAAAACACCTTTATTCTGTACATAGTTGTATTGAATTTTATATGACACCTTTTCTTAATGTAATAAACTGAATTTTCTGAACAAATTCTTGTGCATGAGAAGGAATGTGCAGCACCTTCTCTGAATTAAATTGAGAAATTACCTCCTTAATTTTCAGTTAGTAGGTGCTTATGGATGATAGTTTTGCACATCTGTCTTACCTCCTGTTTTTGAAGTATTCAGTATCTTCAGGTGACTACTTCTGTGCTCTCCATGGAAAATAATAAAATATGGATGATCATTGATGATAATGATTTTGCCCTTAGACACAAAGTTCTTACAAACAAAAGTCCTCCCCCATTGTTTTTTACTGCTTTATAGTTGCTCCTTCCCTTTTTTACCCAGCTTCTTTTGCTTGCTGGAATATGTCTGGTAACCAGAGGCAACTGCTCCTATTTGCATAGTGTTGATAAAGCCAGACAGAAGAATCTACAACTTTTATGCACTAACTTGCCATTTTCTGAGCATTGTAATTCCGTAGAATAAGAGTTCAAGAACTCTCCTAAAGGTGTAGCTTATCCTCATTTGATACTGGCAAATTTCATAACATTAGTCTAAAATGTAATTTTTAAGCAAAAATAGAAATAACTATTTTTTCTGTGAACATATATTCTTTGAGCATATATCTGACAGATATTGGAAGGTTCTCATCTTTGGCTAAAGTAACTTATTTTCTTACATATTTATTGGAAGATGTTCCTAGCCATGATTATACTCTTTTTTCCCTATTTTATGTCAATTATAGTGTTGACTTCAACTTTCATTATTTTTAGATTAATAATTAAGCCATGCTTAATCCCACAGGTCTGTGGCAGTGTTTGTAGCTGCTTGCACCTTTGGGACAGGACCTGATACCTCTGGGACAGGGACAGGTGTCTACACGAGTTGTATAGACAACTCGTGTAGACACCTGTCCCTGTCCCAGAGGTATCAGGTTGACTAATTAGCTGCACAGTAAATGTCTCAGTCTCTACATATGTGCCCCTATTAGGTTACTAATTTACTCCACAGCAGGATAGTACTTCTAAATATTGTACTTGTAAATACAAGTACTATCCTGCTGCAGAGTAAAAAAAACTCTGTATCAGCACACGTGTAGATGCTGGAAGGGCTGGTTGGGGCATGAGAGTGCTTTGGTGCCTGCCAGCTAACCCTGTGCTGAAGCACCCTCATACCCCAGTCAACTCCTCTGCAGCACATTTACCCCCTGCCAGCTGGGGCTGCTCCAACCCAGCTCGTCATGCTGTATTCCTGGGCACACGTTCAAACAGCAACAAATTCCAGAGTTTCTTGTTCTGAAGTTTATTGCACCCAGGCACATGTTCAAATGGTGCACCCAGAAACAATAAACTCTGGAGTTTGTTGCTTTGCATTAATTGCACTTGTAGACACAGCCACTGATACCTGCCTCCCTCTGAAGAGCCCATTAAGAACATTTCCACAGCTAAGGATAATTCTTCTCACTAAGTAACTTAAGGAAGAAACCTCACTTAACTCAAGAAAATGTAATAACCACTGTAACAGAGCATGGTTTTACCCCCAGACATTGTTGGCTTGATGTATGCCATTTTGGATCACGGTTTATAACAGAATACTTGCCCAAGTGGAGAGGCTGGATCATTAAACCTTATTACTCAAACATGGTTTTCAGGGAAGATTGGATGCATTATTTTGTCTTCTATACCACTGGAGAAAATTTCAGATCTTACTTTATCCACAGCATGCAAGCAATATGACAACTAAGCACTACATTTGAATACACCTCTGTATATATTTTTGGGTTTTTTTCTGGTACTACATGTAAAAGTTTTGACACCTGACTCCCCTAACTAGCATAAGAAAGGATAACTACTGTACCTCCCCACTTTGATTTTTCTAGGTACTATTTGCTTTCTTGAGGTGTCCTCCAGCTCATTGGAGATGGGAGTTGGAAAATGCTGATAACTTACTCTTATGAGTAAGTTTGCCAAGGACTTGAATCCTAAGCAAATATCTGGAATTAAAACTGTAGTTCCAAAACTTCTGTTGGGATAGCAGAATTAAAACCTCTGACTTTTTATTTCAATGAGAGAAATAGGTTCCACTGCTGCAGACAAAAGGGAGCTTTGCAGGAAAGCTTGGTAGAGGGAAACAGAAATGGATTAATCAGAAGGTGGTCCCATATGCCCCACCAGTCTTTCTGGTTAGTGGTGTGAGCTCTGGCCAGCACGTTCCATTGTAGTCTTTTCCCAGATGGTAGTGGTAGAAGAGATGTGATCTGTGTTTTGTTCCTTAGTCCATTGATGCAGACTTTGGAAGGTCAAGCACTTTCTTTCACAGTCATATACAAAGGCTCTTCTCAAATTGATCCCCTTTGGAGGAAAATTGGAGAAATGCTAACAGCTTTGTTGGAGCTGTGTAAGTAGGATTTTCCCTGTTCTGTTGTGGGGAACTGATGCAACCTCTGCCAAGACTGCGCTGCTCATAGAGTATCTAAGGTCTGCCCAGAGATCAGAGACCTGTGTTGAGGTGGTCCATAAGTGAACTGGCGTGGCATAAAAGCCTCATATTTTTGTCACTTTGGTCAGTGTGTCAGTGCTGTATTCTATCAGGGTGAACAGGAACTGCAGCATCTCAGATTTAGGCAAAGGAAGAAATACTCCCTCTGCCTCCCTTTCTCCCCACTCAAAAAAAGGTTGCCCTGGACTATAACTCAAAGAAGTTGGGCCCAAATTATTACTGAAAAGAGCTTTTAAAGAAGTTCTGCAAGTAGTGAGTTCTGGAGAGAGGATCTTTCCCTAGCACTTAGGGGCGAGTGAGTCTGAGTCTATCCCTAACGCTGAATGCAGTCTGAAGGTCTCCTGTCACCCCCAACTCTAGACTTCAGAGAAGAATTGTATGTTGTACTGACCGATAATTTCTAAGCATCTTCAACATTTCTAAGTATTCTCAAACCTCGGATTCCATCCTATTCACCATACAAGTCTAATTAAACTTCTGCTCACAAATAATTGGAGAAGACAGAGGTTTCCTGCAAAATTATTTGAATAGAGAACCAAAAGAAACTGAATTTAAAAGCCAGACACTCTTTACTGAGACCAATCTTGTCAATCCCATTTAGACCACAGAATATGAGCACTAGTTCTTTTCACAGAACTGGTTGTTACTAAACAAGCGGTTTGTATAGCATCTGATCTCTTAATCTTATAGTGTCTCCTCAGCGTTTTCACTTCAGGATTCTGCAGTTTAATCGCTTGATTTCCTACAACTCATCTTCAGATAGGAAAAAGATCTACTGTTTTCTCATATTGCTGAGTTCTTGGAACAGCCAACAATAAATACGACTATGCTGCAAAAAAAATGTCCTAAAACTCAAAGGAATGATGCATTTAGCAAGGAAGAATTAGTCTCTCTCATTTTGGTTTTAGTACATTAAAAATTGTGTAGTAAATTATTTATAATTACTACAGATGATAGCCAGTAAAACCAGCCTGAAGGAGGGCTTAGTACTGCTACACATCTCCCACTGGCATAGAAGTTGGTATACATTAAAAAGGCTTTTTGAAGGTGACATCTATATAGCAGAATAGGGGCTAGGTGTCCTAATGAATTGGAGAGGTGCATTTTTACACTTTGCCTGAAGGCACTATATGGTCGATGCATTACAATTTGTAAAATACCTTAAATTAGGAAATAATTGAGGTGTAAATATACTGAAAAGAGAGGGCAACAAATACAGACTCATACACAGAGAGGCAATAAGATCCTGGAACGGATGCATCCACCATCAGATCTATATCTACCGTCCACGTAAACATTTTCCAAGACAGCTGAACAGGCATCTCCCTGAATCACAAATAGGATGTCAAGGAGTCCATTATTTAGGACAACTTTTGACCTCTTCACCTGCCAGGTCATTGATGTACTAATTCTCCCCCCCATACACACACACTCATTCAGCTTATTCAAATCAGGGATATACTAACCAAGAGCAGAAAATGCTCCATTAGAAATATAATGCCTATCTTGTTGAATTAGGTTTTCAGGATGGTGTAGCATAGGGCCACTAACTCTAAGTACTTTCTGTTTAATGTAGGAAGCTGAAGTATAATGGTATAGTGATTTACATATTGTAGCAGGGCACTAAGGTGCCTGCTACTTTTGGAGCAGTGAGGAAGGAGCCCAGGTGCAGGTTGCTAGGGCAACCGGAGGGAGCCAGTAACCCACATCTGTTAGTGGTCAGCTGACTGGAAGGGGCAAGGCCTGGCTCCCACTTAAACCCCAGGGCTGAGGCCAGGTGGGGAGTTCTCTGCTGGCAGCCAAAGGGGAAGGAGCTCTGCCTGAGCAAGTAAAGGGAAGAGGCCTGACTGCACGAGCAGCTTGATCCTGGTGAGAGATGGAACACCCTTGGGGTGGCTTGAATGATGTTTTAGCCAAGCGGCATGAACGTATGTTATAGCCCAGGGGCTGGTGT